CTCACCATCTAGTCAAAGTTCCGCGTATCTGAACCTTGTCGTTCAAAACAGCCAACGAATACTGTACAGTAACCGTAGAACTATGATCTGGCTAGGAATGTAAACTTCCATCTTTCTAAGCTGTGGGGAGCAATAGTATCTATTCCGAATCACGGTCACTCTTACTTTACACCAGGCGTGTTGTGGCGGCTGGCGTAAACCCTTCATGTAAGTAAGGATTGACAGTGTATTGGCCTCGTCATGAAAGTTCAGCCACTCGTAGGAGCCGGGAAGGTATGCATACCCCTTTACCCAAACATATAATCTGAATATGCACGAGCATTCCGAGATTGTATACAGAAGTACATACCAGTAAGTAAGATGCTATTGGCCATCACGCCGATCACAAAAGGGTTGCCTCTAAACCACCATCAGTGGGCTCTCTGACGTGCAAATCCAAGACATTTATCAGTGCGAGGAGTTTGCCATCACGTAGGACAACTAGGTGCGTATTTACGCCTCACGAAACGCGTCCTTACCTTTTCTTTTAGTCGGCATTTGCCTTGCTCTTTGCGTCCAGGATGCAGCAAATTTCATCCCAATGCACCAACTGCGGTGCTTTCACCAGGCGGAGTCTCTACCACGAAGAGGAATACGAGAGCTCTGTGCTCCTCGAGCGGCTTCGTACCTCGAATTCCCCACCAACGGACCAGGAGATTTCGCACATCCGCCACAAGCTCCTACCCACTGTCTCCGATGATCTATCTTCCATCAATTTCCAGTTGGCATCCATTCACGAGGTTGTCAGGGCAATGGAGGAAGAGCGAGAGAGGTTGATAAACATCCGGAAGAAGTACAGCAACCTCCTTTCCTTGCATCGCGCTCTGCCCATGGAAATCTGGTCAAACATATTCCTATACACGATTTCAGGGTCCTCTGACCGGAAAACCCTTGTCGCATCTGGGTCCATATGGCAGCTGAGCCACGTTTGCCGGAGGTGGCGCAACATCGCTTTGTCCCTTCGTTCGTTTTGGTCAAATATTTATATTTCGTTTCCGGAAGCGGCGCAGCATGAAGGAGAAGTTCAGCGCCTACAGACAGTTATGAAGCGTTCCCGCCAGGGACTGCTGAACATAACCCTGGGTGGCGAGATAGCCAAAATGCCGTCTAATTTTGAGCGCATATTCGACATCGTCGTCGCCGAATCGTACCGGTGCAGAGAACTCAATATCGAACCTTATACGATGTGGGGTTGGGATTCACTCTTTGCGCAACTTTATGATCGGTTTCCTCTCCTAGAGTCTCTCGGCGTTCATTATGTTCAGCTGGATTTGAAGGAACAATCAGTGTTCAAAAATTGTCCTTGTCTTACAAAACTGACTCTTGGTGGTCAAATTCCTCCAGTCGTCGAATTTCCTTGGAACCAAATCACGGCGCTAGACCTTTCTGACATGGATGTCGATGACGAGAGGGGCCGCATCGCATGCATGCGTCTGATTGAACGGTGTCCATCTCTTGAAACCCTTTCTATGCCTCGATGCTATTTACTGGACCAAGAAGCGTACACACCGATCACCTGCCCAAACATTCGCCGGCTCAGGGCCTCGTCGGTGCCTGTCATCGACGCTCTCACTCTTCCTCGTTTACGGTTGGCTTCACTTTTCCCCGAGCCTGCGACAACCCATGGTGATATCATGTACCCATTCAAACAGCTGCTCATTCGCTCCAATTGTTTGAGCGCCCTTACCGGACTTTCGCTTTTCAATGTGCCACTTGCTACCTCCCCTGAACATAGTCTCCTCTCTATCCTTTCCCAGACACATAGTCTCACCTCGCTCAGCCTGACCGTATTCATGCAAGGACTTAGAGATGCTAGCAACGGGGCACAAATAGCTGCCATCGTGAACTCTCTGGAGATCACCCCGGCGTCAAAAACAGTCACCTTTCTCCCCGTCCTTTCGGCTCTCGAGATTCGGGTGTCAAACCATTCTGACTTGATGAGGGTACCGTATTTTGGGCCGGTCGACAGGTTTGCTTCCACCCTCACGGCGCGCTGGAAAGGGGACGATTCGGCTGGACTGGCAAAGCTTCGGACGTGCCACTTTACTGTGCAGGCACGGTATCTCACGTCCAACATATATAGGGACACTGAGCACGTCCACACCTCAGCTGTATTCAGTGAAGCGGAAAGGTCTATCTTTACTGCCCTAGTTGAGGATGGAATGGACCTCATTATACGGGTCACGTCGGAGTTGACTGCAGCTGTAGGAAACAATGGTATAGTTTTCGCAGTTTCTAGGTGACTTGTGGGTTTCGGAATCTAACATTCAATAAAGGTTGGGATCTCATGATCATATACGACCTTTCTCTGATTCCGCGTATTAAAGGAGTACTTGTGTGTCCTTCGTTGGGAGTTTCGGCGGTCCTGCAACTTGGACATGCACGGGGCGATTGGGACCTTGTCGCTCTATTGGTGTGATGTTTTCCCTTGAAGGATCACGTTTGTTTCATAGATCGTTGCCTCCACCGTGATGTGTTTGCATGTAACTCGAGATAATGAAGCATCCTTCTACGACATACGAAATGAACGGCGGCTTTGAAAGATGATTAAGGTCTGGCCTTTCTTTGGCCTACAAAGCGACAATACTTGCGTCGCCGGCTGAGGAACCACTAACAGGAAGGCGGTGGTCTGTGCGACTTGTACGTCAATTTGACCCTTCCATTTCTACTTTCGACGTGCAAGACTTCGATTGGATACGGAATAGTTGTGAGAACCCTTTTGATTTACTCCTGCGACGATACTCTCAGGCTATTGAGTGGTGCGTTCAGATAACGGATTGGAAGCTTCACAAGGAGACCCTCAGTCTTGTTTGCTGGCAGCGACAATCCCTATTCTCACCGTCACTCGCGCGTACTTTACTAGACCTATCATGGCTTTATTTCATCCCCTATGAACATTCGGCGTAGTGATGGCCTGCACATCCTGGTCTCAGATTATGGTGACACGTGAGGCAGGACAAGGAAAACAGGCAAGTTCCTATCTGCTCTTCAAGCACTGCCAGCCCCAAGAAATCTCTTCAAAAACTTTCCACAAAAAGTCCTCACGCGATCTCCAATTCAAGTATGCCGGCCTCAGGCTGTCTCTGTACTTCTCATGCGGCTGTAACTCTTCGCCTGCAATGTGCGCATCTGGCGTCGGTAAAACGTACACGACGCGTGGGTCAAAGTGGTGTCTTTTCACCTGAACAGGGATACGTCCACCAGCCGTGTGCGTGCGCAATGTTATTGCACTGACTATAAGGCTGGTGAGCGTCTGCGGGAGCACAGACACGATGGGAATAATCGCAAGATCAAAATACAAAGCGTCCAGTGGACCTTCGAAAGCGACACCGGAGAGGTGGAGATGAGCGAGTCTTGGGGCCTCCTTGAACATACGTGTCCAAATACTGTGGAAACTGGAAAGCTGGTGGAATGACTGAAAGCCGAGATGAAGGTGTGTCAAGATTGAGGATGTCATAGAGAAGAGGGAAGGAGATAAAGGGCATCCATTCCCTAGCATGATGGAGATGTGGCTTGGCCGCAAATACTTTGACAGTGGGCGAAAGATGTTGAGCTGTATAGGGCTCCAATATGAGAACCGCTCGATGCTTGTACATGCTTTCACGACAATGATGATACTCTTATCGAATTCGGCGTCTTCTTGTGGAAACTCTTCCGAGTCGAGACCGCCGATTGTCAAAGATTTGACTGTGCGACGCAAGAAGTCGGGATCGCGAGCGACAACACTGGCAGCAAAAGCAGAAACTTTTGTAGGTGTGTCAAGAAAGACGTTATGGTACAGAATATGATCTGTCCTACAAGTAATCAGTACGAGATTACCCTCAACTGGTCTGATTACCATTGGCGGACATCTTTTGAGACGAGAGTGAGGCTGTGGGCCGTCGAGCGATCTGACCATGCAGCCGCTTCCATAAAGAGCCGCACCACATCCAGAGGCAATTCAGGGGAATATTCCATCTGCGTCTACCCCCCGATGTTGAAGCAAGATGGGCGTTCAATTGCAAGGTGTACATCCGGCCCGCGTATACCGATCCTAGGTTCGGAACATTCCAAAAGTCTTTCTTTCTTTCCTTTCACCCAACTTTCACCAAAATCTTGCCAAAGCCAACCATGGATCTGGCTTCAGTCAAACCCTTTCCAGATCTTCCGGCCGACGTGGCGCGAACTCTCCTCGAAATGGCTGCGTAGGAGGACCCGCACACCGCCCTAAATCTCCTGCAACGATTCTATGCTTCTTCGCCCGTCTCAAGGTTCTTCGTATCGGTGATTACTTACGAAGGCGGCGAACTTCTTCATCGACACCGTTTAATCATACCCACAATAGAAGGAGTCTTTGAACATTGTGCTGGGTGCATGTCATAGTCTGGAGCGCCTCGCCTGGCTTCTGACATATGATTGGATACTCCTACGAGATCATACAGCAATTTATGGCAGCTGCGTTTGTCTCTCACACCTCTCCTTGACGGATATAACACCGGTGACGGCTCCTAGTAGCCTAGATCGTACGCGTCGTAGACTTTTCCGACTCCGGACAGTGTGTTACATAGGGCACTCGCATAGTTGTCGGCATGCTGTATGCATAATGCTAGTCTGGCGGAGTGTTTCCTTTGTAGGGCATCATCAAGGTGAGATGTAAGAAGTACTGTATATATAAGATTTGTTTGTATATCTACTCCCAAGGCTTATTAGCTCAGGGAAATGCACCAGAGTTTCCCGCTTTCTACGGCGGGCTGTTGCTTCAAACTGGACCATGCGCTTTCCCAGTGTCACAACCTGTGCGCCACATTGAAATCAACGTTAGCGGAACAAGTTGCGGGAAGACAAACCTTGATTTAAAGTGTAGAAAGGAAATGGTACACAGCACCGGTGACCGCTCTGCATCTCCAGAGGATAAGTACTTACTTCAGTTGAGTCGAGTGCTCACGAGCCTGTGTAGTATCTACCCCTGAGGTCGGTAATCGTGCCCCATGGCTGAGTTGGTTACAGCGTCCGACTGTTAAGTTAACACATCGGAAGGTCGTGAGTTCGAGCCTCACTGGGGCAGTGGCGATTCTTCGGCGCTTTTTGGCGCCACAATCATCCCCAGCCCCGCAAGCGGCAAATCCTCACTTTTTGTCACAAACTAGGGTGGCGCAGCAGAATTCCTGGGGGTGTTACTAATGGACCAGTTATCACTGTCGCTGGAGTAATGTCGGACAAAGCTACCGCGTCTCCCGATCAACATCTTCCAATGAATCTAGCAACGATTGCCACCCATCGCCCATTCTAGTTCGAAAACTCCAAGGGTTCCAGAACTGTTACGCCCAAAGTCACTGTAAGTTAGATGCGCACAACAACAACATTACAGAAAGGGGAAATACTCGCCATCACATCCCTCGACATTGTTACATCTTCCTGTTTCCTTGCTCACCTTCACGTCGCGAGAGCTCAGAGTCGACGTGAGATCAAAAAGTTATACCAATTGACCCACTGCACGCCAAGATCACCGATCCGTCCGGCAAATTTAAGCCAAGCTCTGGGTGGTGAAGGATGATACGAAGCGCAAGTGACGGGAAATACTGGGTGAAGATGTATCGAGCGCAAACCTAACTTGCGCGCACGAGGAGACTTAAGATCAAGAGCGTGCCAGTTATAATGAAGGACAGCGGCGACCGTTGCATCTTTCAAAAGGATGAGATGATGACAACTTTCCATGCAGGATAGACGAGAAAAAGGGTACTGTCGTCGTTGACAAGGATCAACTGCCACTGAGGCCTGAATTTGTTTAGTGTTAACGAACGACAAAACAGTCTGCAACTAGGTATAGAAAGCTACGGTGACTCGAATAGTCCGGCACCTAATGCACAAGGAAAGAAGGCATTTAGAAACCTGAGAGCAAATATAAGGAGCTCATACCATTAGCCTGTTTTATTTCTCCATCGCGATATCGCCCTTGATGGTTGAGGATAACGTACGCGCGTCGTAAAGCAGGCTCGTCCTATTTGATTGACAGCTGGACTCGCGACTTTGTGGCGGACTTTCTGCGGACGAGTAAGTAAAAAGAATCCATGCGAGCGGGTCCGCAAAAACAATTAGTATATCAGCACTTGTCCGCCAGTTTGCATCCCATATTGGTTATTGGGTTGTGTGAGATGTGTCGAGACAGGAATTACTTCGTGTATCTCTCCGACCAAGACCAAAGCATGCCTTCGTAGATTACACATGCTGATATACACTGACAGGGCCAGTTCTCCTTCGTCGCGGCTTCAGATTTAAAACGAAACTGGCGGACGGAACATGTACCTGGCATACCAGCAAAGCTCCGAGGCATGTGGAGCGTGAAACATGTCAATGGTTCTCGCCGTCGACGAAGTGAAGGCCGACGAGAGTTGGAACGATGTAGAATCCGCCTGAGAATTCTCTGTGCATGGAAGCAAATCGTTGAGCGAACAAGAGGCCCGGGGTCAAGGACATGTATTCCCGAAGCGACACGCCCGTAGTCGTGACCGGTAATCACAAGAAACGCTGTAGCACGAGCGCGTATTGCAGACCCAAGAAGTGAAACAGGACTATAGGCAGTGGCTATCTCCACGGGCCATCCTCAGAGTACTCGCCGGTGCCATCGATGTATACTATTGGCGTCACAGCAGCGTAGCAGAGCGCAGTTAAGAGGACGATCAGGGAATAGCACGAGTTGTAACGTGAGTGTTGGTATGCACGTGTTTGGTTGGGGCTTCGATCGTGTTTGGTTTCTGTGTTTGGTTTCTGTGCGCCTTTGTTCTTTGTTCTTGGGCTATCACTATCACTATCGCGTTTTCTTGGATTCTCATCAGAACATCTACTAGCCTTCTCAACAATAATCACTAGACTCTGACGAAAACATGCGGGCTACGCGAAGCAAAACGCGTAAGAGTAAGGCCGCCAATACATCCAAACCACGCGTGTCGTTCGCTTGCGAAACACCCACTGCTGCTGCTCGCACCTCAACTACCACGCCGGAGAAAACACTCACACCCGCCTCGTATCTGAATGTACTCTACAAGCGCCGCGACGCGCTGCAGGAGTGTACATTGGGTGACGGCGACGACTCGGTCACTTCGAACAAAGCCAAAGGGAAAGGACGAGCGGACGGCTTGAGCAGCGGAGACCGTGTATCTCAGCTACGCTCGCGTGTGCGGGGTGCGTTACAAGATGCCGACCCGTGGATCGAGCTGGGACGCGTCTTGAAGTTGCAGAGCACCCTCGGCGGGACGAAGTGGGTTTATTCTCCTTGTACGCGTATAATGCCTCACTTCTATCTGACAGATACATCGGGACTTCGCTCACCCCCGCTGAGCCCATCCCGCTCCCTGAGCCCTATACCGACGTGTTTCCCGAGACAGAAGAAGAGTGGGATGACCTCCGACAAAAGACTGCGGTGGTGGAAAAGGTGCGAGGGTGGGTGAAGAGTGTGGAGAACAGTGTCGTCGAAGAAGAGCCCGCGAGGAAGCGTAAGAGGCAGAGCGCCAGCGCGAGTCCAGCCAGGAAGAAGCGCAAGGAGGAGAAGGGGGCGGCGGTGTGCGGATACGACCCCAAGGATCCGTCCCCGCTGGGGTTTGTCGTGGCGAAGAAAGTCCCTGTTCAAGCGAAGCGCGGGGCGCCGAAAGTCCTCGTCCCGGATTCTTCGCCTGCTAGGCCTCCGTCGAGTTCTTCTCCCCCTCCTCCACATAAAGACGCGTCTTCTCCTGAGGACGCGGAGATGGAATCTCCCCCACCGCCCCGCGCCTCGATATCATCTGTGCCCGAAGACGCGTTCTTCCCGCCATCGTTCCCTTCGGATCTCGTGACGTCGACGCCGAAGCCAGTGGAGGTTGGCAACGAGTCGTCTAATGAGGACGCGCCTCCAGTCAAGACGGCAGATCTGCGGAGTAAACCGCTATCTACGGTAAAAGCAACGCCCTCGTCATCGAAGCCCCCAGTGCCGACTTTTGCGTCAAAGCCGCTCTCATCTGCCAACCTCGCCCGTCACCGCGACTCGAAGCTGTACCTTGACATCGACCTCGCTTCGCCCACAAAGTCGCTCTCGTCTATCGCTGGAGACGACGATGACTATGAGGACGATGAGGTTCTGCTTGGCGCAGCGGGACTCGCTGATGAGGAGGCAGAGCACGGGATGCAGTTTGACTGGCAAAGTGAGGCGGATGATCTAGAGGGCTTTTTGGAGAGGGATGTCAGTATGTATGGGGATCAAGATGAAGAGGAATCTCCTTCCCACCGGGTAGAGTATCACCGGGAGGCGGAAGAACGTGACGGTCAAGAACAAGACGAGGATACGATGTTTGGAAAGTGGTTTAATCTCCCCAGGAAGAGTGCCAGTACCAGTGCGAGTGGCGCCGGGGGATGGTTCGGGAGGCGATGACAGATCTTTTCGGGGGGTGATGATATATCTTGACGTTGTTGGTCTGCTGTAATTTCTTGTTAAATCTTGTCCATTCTACATATCCATTACATTTTCTGTTGTACTTGAGCTCTCATAAATGTATCTTGGCAGACTTTAATGCATTCTCTTAGCATGATAGTCGAGCTGAAAACAACAATGGCTCAAGGGCAGAGCCGTGCTTTCTGGAAACTTGAGTATTCGGTATGCAAACATTGACAGAGACTTTCGGTGATTCGGTGTGGCGTACGTCCAGAAGAAAAAAGGAGCTTAAGTATCCTCTTTAGTGCATTAAGGGGGAATCGAACCCCCGGCGGGTCGAACCAGGAGAGCCTTGGCCAACATGGCAACGACCCAGGTTACCACTACCCCATTAATGCGTATCCGCTGTCGTTCGTGTACCTCCGACTCGACTGTAATGGCTGTTTGAAGAGATGGAAGTCTCACTGGGCATTGTTATTTGCCCCGATTCGCCTCCCTGTAGGGGAATGTGGCGTGTACTGCCCGAGTTGTCCATGTATCCCCCCCATCTTGAGGCATTCCATCCACAGAGAGCCGTCCGTGATTGAATCAATTCAGTGCACCGTGGAGTCTTCATCCAGTTCATCCTTCCATCCCGTGTTCTCTCAACTACAAACGCGTCCTGATCAAGTCGCGTCGCGATCTGATCGATGATCGGATTCCGGTCCAGTTCGTGACTGAGACATTTCGGATGTCCGAACTGGATCGTTACCTACTATGAACGGAATTTTCTTGCGGCTTCATATGTAGGCTGACTGGTTCTCTCTCCTCACAGTCAGGCTCAAAAATACCTCACAGCCTGAAAACCTTCCCTTTCATGCCCCATGGCTGAGTTGGTTACAGCGTCCGACTGTTATTCAACTGGTCTTCTAGCTGTAAAATCGGAAGGTCGTGAGTTCGAGCCTCACTGGGGCAGTTGCTGTAGTTTAATTTTAACTTTTTTGTTTCCAGGAGCTGCGCCACACTTGCCTTACAACTTTGTTTTCATTATGATAGACTACATTTAAGTACCACTTTCTGGTAAAGAATATAATGTACGGAACTCGTTTTTTAGTCCTAACATAAAGTCATTGGAGGCGTCCGGCGTGAGCCAGACACTAAGTAGTAATCTGGGAGACACTTCGTGCATCTATCCTCCACATTGACGAGGACAATGACGTTCTGTCCACAGATAGCCTTGAACCAACTCAGGGCACCGTGGCGCCTTCTTCCTCCTATCCCGAGCTCTAGTTCTCTCTCACATACAAACACGTCGGCGCGTCGCGATCGGATCAATGATCGGATTCCTAGACTGAGACATTTCGAACTGCATCCTTGCTGTTCTCTCTCCTCACGGCGCCAGGCTCAAGAATACCTTGCAGCCTGTAAAGCTTGCCTTCCATGCCCCATGGCTGAGTTGTTTACAGCATCCGACACGCACCGGGGCGGGATTGGCACCCGTGCAAGGCATCAAAGCTTTTTTTCACACTCGGAGCGCACGCAAGATTTACGAGTTCACCATCCCAACTAAGACTGCTGCTAAAGGTTGTTCAGTATTGTAGAGAACGCTACGCGTGATCTGAAGGTGAGTATTAATGGCGTGGGCGAATTGATCGCATTTTGCGCGACCTTCGATCACAGGTTCCTTCCAAACCACCATCTTTAGCGGCACCATTGGGCTTTCTGACGTGCTACCAGAGTTATCTCTCAGCACAGGAAGACTGTCATCACGTAGGGCATATATGTGCGTGTTTTTGTCCCACGAAAGGAACATGTCCTTACCATTGCTTTTGCATAGTGGGCAATTTCCTCTGTTGGGGTCGGTCTGCGTTCGAGATGCAGCAAAGTTCGTCCCAATGCACCGACTGCGGTGCTTTCCCCAGACGAAGTCTCCACCACGAAGAGGTATACCAGAGCTCTGCGCTCTTTGAGCGGCTTCGTACCTCGAATTTCCCAGCAAATGAGAAGGAGATCATGCACATCCGTCACACCATCTTACCCACTGTCTCCAACGACATATTGTCCATTGATTTCAAGATCACATCTCTTCAAGAGGTTATCAGGTTGATGGAGGACGAGCGAGAGTGGTTGATAAACGTCCAAAAGAAGTACAGCAATCTCATTTCCTTGCGTCGCACACTCCCCTCGGAAATCTGGTCGGCAATATTTGTATACACTCACGTCATCCGATACAACGCCTTATACGCATCTAATTTCGTATGGCAGTTCAGTCGTGTCTGCCTGAACTGGCGCAATATCGCTTTGTCCCTTCAGTTGTTTTGGTCAACTATGTGTATTCGGTTTCCGGAGAAGCGCGAAGCAGATGCCCAGCGCTTGGAGACGGTCTTACAGCGTTCCCGTCAGGGACTCCTAGACGTATCTCTGAGCGACGGCTCGGACAGAGCTGATGAATAGCCGTACATGTTTGATTCCTCGATTTCAAAACACATACTTGACATGATTGTTGCCGAATCGTATTGGTGGCGGCAGGCCCGGTTATCATTTTCGCACGCAAACTGGATTCCTCTCTATGGGTCACTTCTTAATCGGCTTCCTCGTCTCGAGTCGGTGAACCTTTTTTTTTGATCCGCCCAAGCTAGAGGAACAATGGCCGGTGTCTGTCTTTAGTAACTGTCCTTGTCTTACGACAGTGACTCTTAGTGGCAGTATGCCGGGCATTGAATTTCCATGGGAACAAATCACTGTGCTAGACCTTTCTTATATGGACATCCGTGACGAGGAGAGGTGCAGAGTATGTGTACGCTTTATTGTACGGTGCCTATATCTTGAGATTCTTATCACGCCTCTCTGGGATTGGAAAGACGACGACGAGGCCAAACCAACCACGTGCTCAAATGTGCTCGAGCTCCATGCCATGAGGGTGCCCAATGCTCTCACATTTCCTCTTCTACAGGAGGCTTCCCTTCGTGATAACAGTGACAACTACGGTTCCCTTCATTCATTCAAACACCTCCTCGTTCGTTCTAATTGTATGAACACTCTCACTAGCCTCTCGCTTGATAGCGTGCAACTTGCTGCATCGCCGGACAGTACCCTTCATTCTATCCTTTTGCAGACACATGACCTCACTTACCTCAAGCTAATTGTAGATATACAGCATTACAGTGCTCAGACAGTGGGTCATGTTGACATCCAGATAGGCAGACTTGTGAAATCCCTCGAGGTCATACCAACGAAAGCGGTCACCTTCCTCCCCCTCCTTTCGTCTCTAGACATTCGGATAGACAACCACCGTAACTCATGTTGGCTACCGTATGTTGGGCCGATTGGCGAGTTTGCTTCTGCGGTGAAGGCGCGTTGGAAGGGGGATGATACGATTGGACCGGCAAGGCTTTGGACATGTCACTTCATTGTGCACGCACATTGTTTCGATGATTTTATTTTCCGGGAAGCTGGGGGCGGTGTTGTCTACCGTGTCTTTGATGCCGCGGAAAGGGTAATCTTCAATGCGCTAGTTGATAATGGGATGGACCTCGCCATACAGGTCTTGTCGGAGGCGATTCAAGTTTGTGGCCCCTATCCAGGAAGCAATTATGCAGTTTTTGCTACTAACGGGTGCGTTCCACCTTTCAGGGTAGAGATATCATGATAGTGGCCAACTTTTTTTGACACTCTCTATCACAGGAGTATTGCACGTCTTTCGGAGGAGGGGAAAAGTTGAAGCGTCGTGCAACTTGGTGATGTACGGCCATTGGGAACATAGCATAAAGAATACCACGTTGATTTTGTAGACCGTCGCCACCAGCTCAAATTGTATGTGTGTAGTTCAATGAAGCGTCTTACAGGAGCGAACAAGCATGGCTGTGAAAGATGGTCAATGTTTCAACAACACTTTCAGCAGTTCTGGTCCAGGTTGTCAACTTTTTGAGAACTTGACTTCGGCCACGTGCTAACAGTATTTCTGACTTTCGACCATCATGTCGAAAAACCCTTTCTGATACGTTTAGCGCTGGGCACACTCCCACTCCTTGTTAGCTCGGTTGAGACCAAGACGGATAACTTGGCCTCAAGAACGTATAGTATAGGACGCGATTAAAGACAAGCAACTGGACATTCTCCTATCCTCACCACAGACTCTTCGTTCGGTGTCTGTCTTTGGAAACCACAGTCGCTTTAGGCTTTTATTTTCTGCTACTGACTCCAACATGGGATACATGCAACAAGCGCAGCCCTCCGGGATATTACATTCAACGCCGTAGCACGTTCTGCGCGAGGACCGTTGGCTGGATTCGCGGCGGTTTACCATCATCTCTGCTGTTAACAAATTTCTCCGTCATGTTGGGAAAGGCGTTCGGCGCCAGCCACCTGACGTATGCGGCCCATTAGCGTCTACTCGTCCAATCTCAGGCACTGTACCCTATGAAGGCCGCTGATCCATGAACAGAGCGGTGACGAGGACTTGATTCGACCTGCCAGGGTCCATTCCCCAAGACGTCCTTTGGATATCACCTCCCGACTTTCACCCTTCCTTCCGTGCTCGCAATGTTTGACGCGGACTCGAATATCCTGTTGGTATACGGCCGATTGGACTCTAGGTTGTCCGCCCCGCCCTGTGATCCCGACCTGACCAACATTCGACTTATAGAACCTCAGGCGAGTAGTAGCTCTAGTATTGGGAACAATCTCATATCAAATCCAAATGAATGGCGCCAAACCAAGAAATTTCCGTTTCCGTCGATTGGTTTGATACACCATTATCGAGTCGCTCATGAACACCGGTCTAGCCCATACGAAACTCGCGGCCAGCGCCGTGAACGCCACCGTTTAGTACGTAGTCAATGTCTTATCGGTCTCACTGAATACTACATCTTGAACAGTATCCGCTCATGGGCCCACGCTCGTTTCGTGATTCTTTTGCCGCTGCTTTGTGGACCTTGGACTGATGGCGTATTGCGCCAACTTTTCATTTCCACGTTAAATGTAGGTCTTACGCATTTCGAATCAATCACGAGGCTGCATCCCCGCTCTTAGCCTTCCAAGCGATATATGAAAAATGGTAATCCTGTACGCGTGGCGCTGTTCAACAACTTCGACTAGTGGCAGTACGTGTCGATAGCAATTGCCAGGGGAGAAACTGCTCAAAACAACGTGACGGTCGAAGTCAAGTGAGTGTCTCTTTTGCTCCTCGCTGCTGCTTCTGTATCCCAGATGGGCAACTTCACTTGGGCCGGGCAGACGTTCAATGGTGATGAGGACGTGACATGCGACCAGGTGAATAATGTTTGCATCATTACCGTTCCCAAGCCGGGGTTTGCGCTAGTTTTCTTGAGCGAGGGGCAGACCGAGACGGCCCGTGCAGTGGCGTTGACGACCTATACTGCTGAACACTGACTACCGCGTCAGTCTGGATCTCTTTCCCCCACCTGCCGCGGGCACACGCACGTCCTTTGGCGCAGCTGATTTCCGACCATTGAACCTAAAAGCCTTTCACACCACGCGGGTTACGTTCATGTGGCGCGATTAAAGACGAGCATCGGGACATTCTTCTATCCTCATCACAAACTCTCCGTTCGGCGTCTGTATTCTGCTTGGAAAACGCGCAAATTCAAGTTGAAGCTAGTCATCGGCGGCGGAGGTACTGCAAGAGTCGTTCCCATATCAGTCGACTCTACTGCACGCTAGAGGTCACATCATGTTTAAGAACCTCGCGCCTCCTCAGAGTTTCAACTCGATGGTCGACCACGGCTTACTTCCAACGGCTACCAGTGGATGTTGGGGAATCAGGTATTTCTGGATTTCAATGGAAACCCGCGTACCATGTATGCGGCCCATCTCAAGCTTCGTTTTCTAATTCCGCTGGCCGCTAATGAACGCGTGTCGAGGATTAGGACATGACTTGTGCTGGCGTCCTTTCCCAAAGTATTGTGCTCGCAATGGTGCATTTCACGGTAAGTCGGATATTCTGTATGCGGCTGACTAGACCCGCATCGGTGAATCTAGTATACTACATCAACGGGCCAGAGCCAGCGATTGTTGTCCGCCACCCTGTGATCCACCTGATCGAGATACAACTTGTTAAACCTCAAGCGAAGTGTGTCTTCGTGGGGTTTTCACTCTTCATATTGAATACACGCACATAACCGCCCCACAATCGTTTTTTTTTGATACACCACCACGTCCGAACCGGTCTGTTACGCATGCAGTCCAAGGGTAATGCGTGCTACAGAACCTAGGCTGACGCTGAGACTCCGTTCGGCGTCTAGTACACGTCGAACGTCTGGGTTCCGTGGCCTCACCTCAACAAAGGCGTTGTGTTTTCTACGTCGCGTCTCGGTGAAGCAGCTCCAGGTCGCCACATCGGTACGCGATCCCGGCTCTCTTTGCGCTAGTAATTTCAAAACGAAATCCCTCCAAAGGACATTCCACAAAAACTAGTCAGTACGTTGGATCAAAAGCTGATCAGGTCCGTTGATTCCAAGGGGAAACTGGAAAGGTGTCGTCTATGCAAATTGTTGAATCGTAAATGCGCCATGGATTCGGGTCATGTCTACAAGTCATCGTGTCCTAGCTCCCCCTCCCCCAGTCGAGAAGAATAGTGCGGGAGAGTGAGCGGATGGAGCTTATATGTATGTACTATAGTCCTATACAACAATGCTCGCCAAGCGTTTTGAACTACAAGACGCATTCGAGAACGGCGGTGGCAGATCTTCCGTTCATGCATATTAATGGCACATGTTGAATCTCGTTGACCGAAAACTTGAAGAGAGTAATCAAGTACAAGGTGTTGATAGGGTACGCATACCCGTCGACTCCCTCTGAATACATAGATCTCTACTGACATGCATCCTTCCAATATGAAAGAGGGAAGTGTCCGTTATGGTGTCAGTTCAGGTGATGACAGCATTAATGGGGTAGTGGTAACCTGGGTCGTTGCCATGTATGATCGCAGGCGTCTCATCGACCCGCCGGGGGTTCGATTCCCCCTTAATGCACTGCTGCGTCTTTGAAAACGTTTTTGTTTTGTCAACGCGGCACGCCACACATGACTCATGAGGTTTAAGTCAACTTGAGCAAATGTTGAATGCGCACTCAGTGCTCAGTGCTCAGCACTCAGCAGTTTACATGACCGAGTCCTTGTCGATTTATTGTGATGTCGGTAAAGGTAAGCCAAAAAAGTACGACTTGAAATTCAACGTGGAACGAAAAGCACCAGCCGAAAGCAGTCGTATCACCGCCTCCCAAACCAATTCGGACCACCGCCGCTCCCCGTCGTACTCGCACTCCTCCTCGGAAGATTAAACCACCTGCCAAACGTCGTACTCTCATCTTCACCGCCTATCTCTATCTCATCTTCCTCCCGACTCTTGTCCACACTATCGTCCAACTCGTCCTTCTCCTCCTCCTCCCCATCGTCACCCTCTCCAAAAACATTAACATCCCTCTCCAAAAAGCCCTCGAGATCACCAAGCCCGCCGTCCAGATCAAACTGGGAATCATACGCGCCTCGGAGCTGGGTGGCAGCGTACAGCGGGGCGGGATCGTCATCCGAGAGAGGCATGGCTGACCCAGCTGACGCTATTGGGTTGACGCCAAAGTCCAGACTTTCCTCTTCGACAGACAGTTTGGACGAAGACGCGCGGACGAGGGGCTTCTTCCCTTTCCTCGGACTAGGAGTACGCGCGGCGCTCAGCAGCTCGCGAAGATCCTTCATCTCGCCGCGTGGCTCGGAGGAAGGCTCGCTGCCAATGTCTAGAGGTCGCGCACGTGTGCGTGTATTCGGGGGAGTCGACGTGACGAGGTGCGAGGGGAACGATGGCGGAAAGAAGGTGTCTTCGGGGATAAATGATATAGATGGGTGTGTGGGTTCGGCGGGTAGAGGGGGAGGTTCGTCTCGATTGGGACGAGAGACAAGTCGCGGAGGGGGTGCAGCTGCGGGAGAGGAGCCCCGAGACGAAGATGGGACGAGGACTTTAGGCGACTCTCGCTTCGGCTGGGAAGAAGCATTCGACCGCACACGCTTCAATGTGACAAACCCCAACGGCGACGGATCCTTGAGGTCGTATTCTTCATCCACCTTGCGCTTCTTCCTCGGGCTCGCACTACTCCCATCCGTCTTCCTCTTCCCTCTTACAGGGCTTGAAACCTCCACACTAACCTCGACATTCTTCACCCACCCGCTCACCTTTTCCACCGTCCGCATCTTCCGCCTCAGCTCATCCCACTCCTCGTCCGTATCCGGAAAGCACAGCGGCTCAGGCAGCGGCACTACAGGCGTCAGCGACGTACCCACGTACCTAGCCGAATCTCAGTCAATCTCCTATACAGAAAGAAATCGCACATACCTCCGCCCACAAAGCGTGCTCCGTAGCTTCAAGACATGTCTCAGCTGACGCCATGGATCGTCCGCTTGCAGAGCCTCGCGCACGCGTTCACGCAGAGCATCGGTTGTGTCTCGTTTGCCAGTGTCGCTGTCCACATCCATATCCAATGCGCATCGGCGCAGCGCGTCCCGGCGTTCGTAGAGAGTGCGCAGGTATGCAGTAGGAGAGAGTATCTCGACGGGGAGCGTGGACGAGTAGGAGGTCTGCGATGTCGTAGGGCACGAGCGTGGTGCCATCGTTGGTGATGTGATAGTGTAGTGAGCGTTCAAGACAACATAAAACCAAACACGTGCATACTGAACGCTTCCTGCACGATAACGAGGTCCTTTCCCTGCCTTAATACAGCACGTATGTACAGGTAACCACACCCACACGAACAATCGGAAGCCAGTTTGTCAGGAATCATATTTACTATGAGAATGATACATACAGCATATTCAGTACGAGCAAAATTTGAGGCGCCGAGTGATTTCCCTAGACGCGACCGTCCAAGAGAAAAACTTAAAAGTGAAGTTGTCGATAATCACAATTGGGATGTGAGGGGTTAAGTCGATCCCAGGAGGGAGGCGTGCATTAAGGGGGAATCGAACCCCCGGCGGGTCGAAAATACGCCCACATATGGATGGCAACGACCCAGGTTACCACTACCCCATTAATGCATAACTGAAACCTTCTCCATCACTGTGTGGAAAGAAAATCATGGCACACTGCTCAAAGAAAAAGGGAGCGCTATGAGTTAGCACTGCCCCAGTGAGGCTCGAACTCACGACCTTCCGATGTTACAGGTCAAACAACGAATAACAGTCGGACGCTGTAACCAACTCAGCCATGGGGCATAGCATCTCCTCTGATCGGTGCCCCTATGTTCCGCCACACTCGCAAAGTGCCGCACAAAGTATAGAGCCAACCTACCTACTGAGAAAACATCAAAGATCCGATTGTCAAAATACCATCTATAGCTCGTACACACTCCAACCTACCTGGTGTGAACAGACAAGACAGTCATCGTGGACTCTTCCAATTGAGCCATCCATTCGCTGTTGGCCTAATTGCAAATACCCGTACTGATAAACCGGTGACCCGGAAGTTAGCCGTACGAGTGAGAAAGGAGCCTACTGTAAGCTGGTCTTTTTGGGTACCTGGCAGGAAGACTGTCAAGGTAAACCGAACACAATCGGGATCCGTACTTCAAGGAGAATGGCGCAGATAGGCGCGGGAAACGGCGGCTTGTTACAGATTGGTGGTTCCAAAATGCCGATGTCCTCATCAAAGTAGATACCAGCCATTGAAGCCCAAGCCAGGATTGCCGCTCACTCCTCTATCAATCAGATTCATACAGTGTACACGTACCTCTGCCCATCCGTATGAAACTCAAACCTCTGTTTGTAGACTTTCTAGAAGCTTTTAGCCCCAACTCAACCTTAAAGTCATCGGACTGAGTGCAACCGTGCATTGAAGATGAAGTCGACAGCGTGTCTCGCGATCCAAGTTGACTCAACGTTATCGGGTGCGCGTCCTTCCAAGATGTGCATCAAGCTTGTCACAACATTGTACACAGTGCTTGCAGCTTTTGTTGGCCGTGTAATGGGTTATCAGGGCCCGGACTGCCGTGCGTCGTAGAGCACAGCACGATTGGAGTGCACGTCCGCGGAGAATCCATAATGTTTGACACATAAGCGACGGGGACTGTTGGTGTCTCGTTGGGGGGGAGCGGGGTGATAACAGATATGTCACTATGAACCTGTCATTGTATACTGAATCGGTCGGAAAACATCTCACAAACTAACCTCCAAGAAGATCCGGGAGTTTAAAGTTTCTTGAGTGGAAGCCGAAAAGACCAGCTTACTCTATCATTGTTAGGGTGGTGAAGTAATCCCTAGGTTTTGATACACCTCGGGTTTACTGCGGTAAATAACGGTATTGATACAGTATTGAAACCCTCGGGGGTCAGGAGGTAGGTCTCTCCAATGCACGTGCGGCACGCTGGCACTTAGAGCTCCTGGAGGTGGCGGGAGTAAGGCGGGATGCGGGGGCGCGGCGCCACATCACGTGTCTGAAGCACATGCGGTATCGAAACCGTTACTAACACCCCCGGGAGGTTTACTGTGCCACCCTAATCGTCGTAAAAAAGCTAACGCGTTACACCTTCTTCCCACGGTTCCCGAGGCACTCCGACCTGCCTGGTTCGAACAGGCGACATCAAGATGACAGGGTATCCATTACAGTCTTGCGCTCTTCCAACTGAGCTAAGGTCGGTTGGCAGTGTTCTGGGCGCCTCACCCCGTGTTGGAACTCGACGCCACCTCGTGCACAATGCTATAACTACAGAAAAGAACATGCAACGATGAGATATGTACACTATGTATGTATGCAACGACTATGATAACTAATGCAACATCCATAACCATGCGCAAGTCAATCTCTCACCACCCCGCAAACCCAACAATCTTCCCATCCCAGCTCCACCAAATCATCTCGTCGTCCTCTTCCATATCCCCATCCTCCTCCTCATTCACTGCAGGCCTCCGACACGCCACCCACACGCCCTCGACCTTACTCTTCCCCTTCCCTCTCTCCAAAAACGTCCGATCCAGCGACGCACTCACGCTCTGCCTCGGCACCCACGCCGGATGCACAAACCGCCGGGGCGCGCGTATAAGTACGTGCGTCTGCGTCGGGTGCATGTCCGCCGCGAGATCCGCGTCTGCACCAACGAGCGCGCGCGAGAGGAGCCGGTCCGCGGTGCGCAAAGCTAATTGGTGGTCGGCGTGGGTGGCGGTGGGTTGGGGTTCGGATTCAGAGTCCGAGTCTGAATCGCTATCCGGGGGATGTTCGTCTTCTTCATCATCATCACTATCTTGGTCCTCGTCATCCTCTTCCTCGTCGTCACTATCCTCCTCATCGTCATCCTCAGGCAAATCATCCCTCTCGCCCCACACCTTGGTCTCCAGCCCATCCACTGCCAGCAACACCCGCGCCTTGGCCGTGCCCACACTCGGTCCTAGCACAATCGCCAGATACGCTAGGCTATTCCCATTCCCTTTCCCTTTGTCTCTTCCCTTAGCAAAAGCAGTCGACAGCGCAGTAAACGTCGTATCCAAATGCGACGTGAGCGTGTCATACGCGTCTAGCAACTGCTCCTTGAGCTTGGCGGACTTGGCGCTCGTCGGTTTGAGGCGGGTCAGTTGAGGGATCGGGCTAAAACCAAAAATCAGATTGGATTCTGGGAGACAGAGGCAGAGGACACGTACAGAGGAACCTGATTCTTGAGGAATAGAACGTGTCCTAGGAGACTTGATGCGAGGCTCGCGGCGATGGTGTCGGGGATAGAGTCGCCTTGGAGCTGGACCAGCGGAAAGTCGCCACGGGTCGTGTTATTGTTCTCCATCGGAGGAGAAATTGCAGGCGATAAAGATGAGGGCAAGACAGCTTTAGCGTGCGTCAGCGACTCTGGTGGCTGCTCGGTCGGAGTGAGGGCGAGGACGGGCATGATGATAGTCGTGGTGGTCGTGGTCGTGGTCAGAGATTTAATTTTAGCGGATCGGAAATCGGAAATCAACAATGTCCGAGCCACGTGATGCTGTTTGTTCCTTGCCCGGCGGCAGATTCGCGCCAAATTCCAATTATGTACGCGAGGCTACTATGGTGTGCCTTTGCACAAGGATATGCCGTTTCCCGTCGATTGCGCCTTAAACAACCTGATATTGGCGCGGTTTTTCACGGAATAGATTCCGATACATGTCTTCTATAGTTGTACAAAACAACTTAAAGGAAATTGGCCGCAAACTGAGTAAGATAGGTCGAGAACAAGGCCGGGTTAGTGATTTTGAGGTGAACACCTTACTTGCAAGGGTTACAGTCTATGGGTGGTCTTTGATTGCCATGTAACTTCAAGTTATTGAAAAGCTTCCCCTGAGTTTTGTAGCGCCACAGATTATGTGCAAGTGTCACGTAAAGGTAAATAACCCTCCTGCCAGACCCTTAGGTTATAAACTGGTAAATAACCTCCCAATATGCTAACCTAGATTATTTCCACTACCCTAGGCAGTAAACCCCTTGGGGAGGTTACTAATAGTGTTGATACTGATCCCCACAAGGCCTAAGTTTTAAAACTATTAGTAATGATTTTAATACTGGCATGTACTATTTCAGATATGTAATATAGTGCAGTGCCATGCCACCCTCATTCTGCCTTGGTTCTGTTATAAATTGCCATATTTTTACATTTTTACATCTCATTATATCTTATCGGGGGCTTGTCCTTTTCATCACCAAAGCCTTACTCATTTTGGACACATGCCAACCACACGGATGACATCATATATGTCAATGCCTCATGGACTTCCTATTGTACACACACTATTAATACTTGTAGCACACATGGTTGTTTCAGTATTATTACTTATATGCAGTCACTACACATATTTAATGGTTTCACGGACTGGTAGCATACAACACTGGGTCAAGGGCGTGGAGCATCCCTAGCGGAAACATGTACGGACAAGGAGTCCCAAACACAGACTTACTAGTATATAAGCAGTAGCATAGTATCACTGTACTTTAGTTCCGATCTCGTTTATATACCTGGCCTAGCCTAGTTCTACAAACATGAACACTTTCTTTTCCCGAAGTCTCTCTGTTGTTATGAATCGCCATATTTTCACATTTTCACATCTTCATCATATCTTATTGGGGCTTGTCTTATCAACCAACGGACTGTTTCATCATCTGTTTTGTCACTGATCATGCTCCTTTTCATTACCAAAGCCGTACTTATGTCGGACACATGCCAAACACATGGATGACATCATACATGCCGATACCTTATGGACTTCCTATTGTATACACACCACCAACACTCGTAGCACACATGGTCGTTTCAGTATTATTACTTACATGCAGTTACCACTCGTATTTAATGGTTTCACGGACTAGTAGCATACAACACTGGGTCAAGGGCGTGGAGCATCCCTAGCGGAAACACGTATGGACAAGGAGTCCCAAACACAGACTTACTAGTATATAAGCAGTAGTGTAGTATCATTGTACTTTAGTTCCGATCTCGTTTATACACCTGGCCTAGCCTAGTCTTACGAACGCGAACGTTTTCTCTTTTAGTTCTTGCTGTGGTACCTGGTTGAGTCTTGTGGCTTAGTCAGTCGCGAACAGTTACAATACCTACCTACTTTACTTACCTTACGATACACACCACCATTCCCCACCCTACCAAGTCCTGGATTCTATTTCAGATCTAGGCGACTCCTCCCTATTCATCCAAACCTCTATTCCCTCACCCGTTTCATCCAAACCCGCATCACCCATATCCCCACTTTCACCCTTTCACTCTCCAATCCCATCACCCCGATTCACCATGTCCAACAAAGCACCCGAACCCGCTTATCACGCTGATGCCAAACCCAAAGGCTGATCCCTTGTCAACAAGCCTTATGACTATAACGGGGACAAGACCAAGTACAAGAGCTGGTGGCGATCAATGTTCACATATATCCGTGATAAGAAGAACAACCTCACATCTGACTCCGAAAGGATCGATGTTGTTCTCTCCTATATCCGAGGAGATCACGTAGATGCATGGGTCCAGAACTACTCGGACCAGAACTTTGACAAGGAAGAAGAGGAATGGACAGTCTCCTGGATGGAGTTCAAGGAGCATCTGAAGGAGCAATTTGTGGACTCCAACCTCGCGCGAGATGCGCAAGACCAGATCGAGCGGTTGCGCCAGGGGCAAGACACCGCTTGTTAGCGACTGACTAAGCCACAAGACTCAACCAGGTACCACAGCAAGAACTAAGGAAGAAAGTGTTCGCGTTCGTAA